GTATGCTATGTTGTGGAAATGAAAAGTCTGTGTCTTTATTCTATAGCTGAAACAATCACCCAATTCACTATTTTTATAATTCCTTGTTTAAGGATTGTATCAGCCAATTTTCTGTTTCCTAACTATTCACAGGGATTCCTCAATGACAATAGGATCTTTATTTTTGAAGATTAAAGCATACATAATTGGGCTGGTTCAATCCCACTTAAATCCATGGGACTTAAACAACTTGTCTACAGAATTGTAGCCATTGTTTCTTTCTATTGGCTGAACATATAATGTAAGTCAACACCATAACACCTTTTGGTTATGTCACAAATTTACAGTGCAATCCAGGGTATGTTTGTTCATAGTTAAGTTCCACTTTGTTCAAGAGAGTTGCCAGATAAGTGTGCCATGTTTTTCATAGGGGAATCATGCAAATAACCCTAGCAAGTGATCTTACTTATTTTGCAAGTTCTGACTGCCAATAAAAGCCATGTGTTTGAGGCATAGCTAGCAAAATTTGTATCCAGTCCAGATGTTACACCCACTAAAAAGAACCATAAATAATGACAATATTTGAAGAGATAAATCCCAAACTTCAGAGAAACACTGCCACTTAAGATTGTGTGTGTGTGTGTGTGTGTGTGTGTGTGTATTTGTTCAATTAACTCAAGAGTATGCCTCCTCCACCCTCAATTCTCTTGTGCAGTCACAAATACTGTTTTATCAAATGAATGTGAGAACTTGCTCCAAGCATCAAAATGAATGCAGATATGTAGTTCTGCTTGCATTTAGTGTAGCACATGTCAGAATTCAAATTTCTGACTAGGTATGTAGGAGTGATATTGCCTCTGCTGTGCACAAAGCTATACTTTATATAAATTCCCTTTGGTATCAATGGGAGGACACCCAGGTGCTCAGAGAATTAAAGATCAAATCTATGCTTTAAGATGACAGTTTCCTAGTTGAAATGTTCAGTAAATGGATAGAGCACAACACATTTTCTCAGCATATCCATCCCACTCATTTGAGATAACACTCTGCAGGATAATAAAACTGATGTTTTAAGGGAAAACCTTTGGTGAAATAAAAATGAAAACCTAAGACATAGGTGTGAACATGGTTATCTTTAAATACACGAAGAAGCAAATAAAATAAGTAATACTTTCATCTTTTTCTTCCAGCAAAAAAAAAAATGCATTTCAAAAGCTGGTTTGGAAAACACTCATTTTGCCCCATCAAAATATGTGTTATTCTGCCTTTGTCATGTTTCCATTTGTTAAGTGCAGTGTCCACCTGAGTATATTTAACTGCATCTTTAAAAGTGTAAATAGTCCTCCATATCTTGAAAAAATATTTGGATGCAAAAACAAAATCCTAGGATTCTAAACAAGGCACGCACTAACTCATGAGCCAATAATCACATTACACATATGAAATGGGTCCACACACTAAACGTCATCCTGCTGGTCCCACCTTGAATGTCATAAAGCTTTCTAGTTCTCACTCTTTATGTTTGCTCATGGGCATCTAAGCAAGGTGACCAACAGGTGTATATCTCTGCATGCAAAGGGTTCCATTGCTTAGATACCCATTCTAAGGTGTGAATGTCATGTAGCAGAGCCTTTATTTCTTTATTCCTACCCCACAGCATTTGAAATTCACCAGGCACATTTTACACCTGGCTATTAGCCACTTGTGACCAAGTAAAGATGCCCAGGCACCAGGATGGTACCTGACATCTCCACCATCTGGAGGTGAATGCTGGGGATCCGGGGATCCTGACTGTTTTCGCACACTAGCAACACATTCTGTAGAATCCTATCCATTATATTTTATCTCCACAATCAGAATGAATTTCAGGAACCTAAAGGTCGTATTGAAAATGACTTTCGAACCGTCTGACCCAAAATGGCAATGAGGCATTTCGTTTTGGCAACTGTCACCTTAGTTTAAGGAGCCATTTACACCTGGCTTATATATCTGAGTTTCTAGCACTGCTACCCCACCTTTTCCATGACAGAACTCAACGTAGCTTAGCTTACAGATAAAAATAAAGTCATGGAAGTCACAACACATTGATGGTATGTCTGAAGTGAGCTACTGTCGTTATGTATTTCAGCACTGTCTGTAGGAGGTATACACACAATACATGAACAACTGGTGGCAGGAAATACAAAGATGGCTTAACAGCCCATCCAAAGCTCTGCCTGGCTATACCCACAGGGCAGAAGCAAGGATGGAGGGATGTTCCTATATCCATTCACATATCATGTGAATAGTATTCATTTTCTCTCCCGTTGTTTCCCATGGAGAGATTTAGCGCCTGTTCAAAAGTGTGTTTAAATCTTCCACCCGTTTGTGGTGTGTTGTTGGTATGTATGTTGGTATGTTGGGCATTCTATCATTCAGATCCAAGCCACTTCCTAGCACACACCCCTTTTGGCTCTACTGCAATCAATGCCAGTTGGAAAAGGAGCTGGGACAGTTGGGGAAGGAGGCTTTGATATCAAAACTCCCTCTCCAATGCCAGAGGGAAAGATGCAACCTATCACATGGCCCCCAGCGATGCCCTTACTGCAGACGCTCTTAGTTGACCCAGGGTTTCCATAATGATCATGCCTCTTGACCCATTCAACACATATATAGTTTACAGCTCCCTCTTAGTTGCCAGAACTTCTTTAGGAGGTTCACCTTACATGAAAACCATGTGCCTAGCAGGCAAATCAAGCCATGCTATAAATTCCTTAATTTGAAGACAAAACAGTTTATCCACTAGCTGAGACCCAAATTGATCAGAATAACACTGGCACACAAAATTAATATAGCTTCCCAAGAGCTGTAGCGGGGAGATTATGGGCCAATCTTGCAGATAAACCCCGAAGTTACCAGCCGGGTAAGACCCTAGTACCCTGTGTTTCCATTGTAGCTGTGAAGTACTACTGTCTTACCCTTCTCTGCAGACAGAAAGGATACTAGCTTCATAGCAAGCTATATTCCTGCCCACAGTCTTGTAGAGGGGCAGAGAGATACACCCCTTCACTGCCAGCCTGATCATTCACCTGTATGAATTCCTTGCTACCGGATGTTACTCTGTCACTAAACAAATGCACATATGTGGGATGGGGTATCTTCAATATGGCTGGCTGTGCCCCATAACCTACACCAATTAATTTTACCATATCAAAAGACACTATGGACATACACTTTTCTCCAAGGGCAGCATTTTTGCACTAGTGTAAGTATTAGCGCCAATGCAACAAGATCCCATCTCCTCCTTCATGCACCCTGAGCCATCCCCAAATCCGCTCCAGATAATTGGGGGGAAATCCTGAGCAGTTGGGGGGTGGGCTCCAAAGGGTGGGGGGAGGAGACAAGCAGAACGTTCTGTTGTGCAAGAAGAAATCACCTTAGAGCCATACTAAATACAACCCATGTAAGGAGGAACTCTGCCCCTCCCCCTCCTATGTACTTTTATAAATATGCACTCATCTGATGGCAGGTTTTAATTGTTGTTAGTCACCCTAAGCAGTGCTAGGCACCAAGAGGTTGGGATCTACTGTATGAAATACACAGAGTAATGTATGAAAGGGCCTTTTAAGTCGAAACAAATGGCAGCGGTTGTTTATGTCAGGTGCCCTCTCTTACGAAGTATTTCACATCAGATTTCCCAATGTGTCATATGGCACTGTAATCATATCCTCTCCTCCCCTGTGTCCCTTCTCCTTCCTCTCCCACTGCAGCCAATGCCTGCTAACAAAACCATCTACGCAGATCAGATGCAAACATCCCTCAAGAGGGGAAATTGGGGGAAGAAAGTCATGTCCAGTGAAGAACTCCCTTGGTCCTGGTCCTGTTTAAGATTCTACAGATTATCTGCCTTTAAAAAGGAATACACATTCCAGCTCATCACGTGAGCAATACTAAAATGCTTAGATATCATGAAACCTGAGTAGCTGAACAGAAGAACAAGCCCACAGTTGCAAGCCATGTTTAATATTAACAGGAGCTTGGATGGAATTTGCAAGCGAACTGTAGGAAGAGCGCACACATTTAGCAAATACTCAGTATACACATAAAGAGCTATAAACATACATCAACTTACATAATTACTTCACACACAACACTTGTGAAAGCAAGCATCAAAGTTACTTGCAACATAAAGTTATGACTGATGCACTGCTTAAACAGCATATTATTCAGTTAAACAGGCTGAACACTTGATGATGTCGCCAGGACTCAGAGCAATTTACATGCAAATATTTTTGTTCAAAGGGTTTGTGGGTTGCAAACTCAGAGTAGTTTCTGGGATAAACAGGACCACACACTGTTTACAAAACCAGTTCAGCTTTTTGCCACCAGACAGATTTGGGCAAAATCCAGACTACTAGTGGATAAACAGAGACCAAACACCAGACTTCTCCACATTGGGTTTGACAGTTCTCAAGCACCGCTGGGCACCTGCCTGCTTCTCAACTGCCATCTGCAAAAAGCTTGTTCTGTTTCTCTCTGATAAAAAGTACTGGGGAAGCTTTCCGGATACGAAAACAGGAAGGAAGACACCAAGCCCAGATCATGTTAAGAAGTGAGCCTAGACGCCAAAGAAACAAACTGTTTCCTGGGCATGAGGTGCGCCCATCCATGCTTGTGGAGATGGCACAGTGTTAGCAGCTGGCAGCATCCTCTGGGGCTCTGCCCTGGGGAAAGAAAGCAGTAGCAACAGCTTTCCGGTTGCCTTGGCTCTCACAGAGAATGATCTCCAAAAGGAGGGACACCGCAAGGTTGTATTTCACTACCTGGTCTAGGGAGCGCCCCAGAGGTATGGCATTGTGAGCACAGAGGTGACCAGAGTTACGTATCGCGAGGGCGCTAAAAAGGAGGGGGGGTGTCCCTTGCCAGTCAGAGACGCCTCTTAAACCTGGTGGGTGGTCATGGGGGCAGCTGCGGCTGCAGACGAGCACGTTCTATCCCCCCCTTCCTTTGTTTTTCATTGGCTGGCGCCCAGCCTCACTCACCAACAGTGGCTAAGGTCTCCAGATCCTCCAGTCGATAAGCGGGCGAGTCCGGCGCCGGGTGCGCCGGAGAGCCTCGGCCGGCAGGACTGGAAGACGGCGCGGGCTGGGGCTCGCCGGTGCCGCCCGCCTCGCAGCCGCCGGGGCTCCTGGCCCCTACTTTCGCCCGCACGGCGCTCAACGTCTCCATGGGGCGGCGAGGGGAGGGAGGAAGAAAAGGCGCGCCCTGTCAAGGCAAAAGGGCGAAGTTTGGGGCGCCGGCGCCGGCCCGGCCTCCTTCCCTCTTCAGCAGCTGCCGCTGCCCCGAGCCGGGCCCGGGTGTCGGAGGAGCCTCTCGGCAGCTGCAAAGCGGCGGCTGGCGCCCCGCATCGCGCCCGGGCGCAGCTTCTCGGCTTGCCTGGTTGCGTGTGTGTGTGTGTGTGTGTGTGTGATGTGCGCGCGCGCTCGCCTGGCTCTCTGGAGACCGGTCGTGCGCCTTCGCTCCTCGCGCGCTTCCCGCCGGCGCCTCCGATCAGACAATGGGGCTTGCCCGAGTCTCGCTCTCTGCCTCACTCGCCCGCCAGCCAGCCAGCCAGCCGGTCGGTCGGTCGCACGCGGGGATGAGAGGGCGGGGCTTGGCTTCCTGCAGCTGCGGCAAGAGCCGGAGAGAGGGCGGGGCCCGCGGGCGAGGCGAGAGAGAAAAGCGGGAGGAGGAGGAGGAGCAACAAACGACCGGCTGGAGGGAGCTGCTGCTTGAAATTTACAACGAAAACACGCCGCAACGCTGCTGTCTGCCTTTTGCACATGGCTCTTGCAGCTGCTGACGCGGTCTCCTCCTGCCCTCCTTTTTAACATAATCCTGTCAGAAGCTGAAGGGCGAGGTTGCCCCCCCCCCCACGCACACCCCGGCCCTTTTCGTGCACCTTTCTTGGTGATTTGGAGGAGCTGTGGGAATTCCTGAGAAGCGCGCGCTTCTCTTCTCCTTAGGTTTAGACGCCGCCAGTTGCATTTTCTTTGATTGGTCTTCGAGGCAATCCTCCCGCCCCCGTCTGAGGGTGGGAGACCTCATTACAGTACCTCAGTGGCTATTGGACAAAGAGGTGTGCGTGGGCGGAGCCAAGGGAGGCAGGCGGGGCAGCTGCCCCCACCAACAAGTAAATCAATAAAAGTACTTAAATGAGGTTCATGCTTCCCCCAATATAAAACCTGGCTACACCCATGGAAGGTGTTAAAGCACAATTATTTTAGCTCTGCATTTTGACCCTCAAACCCATTTTTCTGGATGTCCCTTGGGTGTTTCCACTGTTCAAGCCAGATTCAATGCTGGAAGACTGGCATAATAAAAAGGGGTTTATAAATAGATTATATATAAATTTGCCTGCTGCTTAATAGGGGCAATTTCACCAGGCAATTTGCTCACCTTGTAAGAAAATGGTCATGAGGATTAGGCCTGAATTACAGCTGCCATGCAGTGAATTATTGTTAATTGGGGCTATTAGCAGTAAATGTTTGAATCAAGGCCACTGGCTAACTAAGGCTGATTTTTCTTGACTAACAGCCACAGATTTGTCAATGTGCGCTTTTGGGGAGGGATGGTGATAGAATGTTCAAATGCGCAGGGAGCAACTAAAATAGTGCAATGGGAGGAAATGAAGCTATTTAAAATGAAATTTAAAAACACAGCACATTTTCCAAAGCTTGAAGTAAAGGGTTGAAGGTTAGGTCTGAAAACCTGCACACAGGTTTGCTCAGTCCTATTTGCTCAGCCTATGCATGCCCCTAATGTAGATTTGAAACCTAGAACAAAAGGTAAGCCCTAAGCTCCATCCAAATTTCCATATTGCAAAAGTATGGTGGGGGAATCTTGATTTGTTGAGTATTATACTGTATATGTGTGTGTGTGTGTGTGTGTGTGTGTGTGTGTGTGTGTGTGTGTCTTCTGCATTGTTGTTGTGTGCTAATGCAGTTTTCATGAGGAGCAGTAATCTTGATAATGCAAATGTTCATAAATATTTGAAGATGCCTCTCACCCTAGTAATTGATTGATGTACCTAATGAGCAAAGGTCATTCTACATACAGTGAAACTAATAGGATGAAGCCAGGATTGCAGCAAACAAGTTTTCAGGAAGTGGTGCCTGAATTACATCACAGTTAAATAGGCAAATAACATAACCATTTTAAATCCAAGCATAAACAAAAGAATAAGATGTGCTATGTTTCATTCTTCAGCAAGGTTTTATTCTGGTAACATAACTTCTGTTTACTTTACTTAGGTAACTCCTAGTTTCCCTTTAGTCATCCATATATACATTCTGTGTTTCACCCTGTAATCTCAGTATGTAAAATACCAGACAAGACAGAATAAAGTGAGTTTCTCTGCTGGCTTCTGATGTATTGGATTGAAAACTTTAGTTTGAGTTGGAAAACAGCTAAGAAGTTGTTATGGTCTGCTCCCAGTTTAGGTGGGGCTCAGCCAGTTAAGAAACCAAATGTGTTCCTCTGACTTTTCTTGATGCCATACCAAGTGAAATTAAAAATGGCACTTTGCGGGGGGGGGGGCGCTCTAAGACACATTAACTGTTCATGTAATCATCCAGCCAGTTTGACTGGAGGCAGTGTTGACCGACACCATTTCTGTATCACAGACTCCTCTCTTACCATATAAGATCTTAGAGGAATTATTTCAGTTATTTGTTCACTACTACTGATTTGGCTGGGTCTCCTTGTACCCACTACAACTATACCATTGGATATCTGGGGCATTTGTGTGAACAACTGTACAATTGCTCCCAAGACCACTAAGGAGACCTACTGCCTGAGATGCCATGATCTAATAAAAAACTGCAACTAGTCCTATTGTAAACATTCAGTATGCAAAAGCTTTTCTGCGTGTGTGAAATCACACTTAGCTGAAGTCAACAGGAAGAGCACTGCTCAAGAATGTCAATTGCTACGGGCAAGCCAGGCCAAAGTGTAGTACTATTAACTGCCACTGAATTAAACTAGCAGAGTTAACCACCTGCTTAAATATTTCCTATTATAATCTTAAAATTGCTTTATTTGGGTTAGATTGTGCTCTGTGTATTTCATTTCAAAAGTTGCTGTCATTTATATAAAGGCAATAAAATATTATTTGTTTTTATCAGTCTGACTTTTCTGGCTGGAAATTTTCAAAATCGTTTTTTTTCTTTTTCATACGTAATGGTTTTCCAATATGACTCATGTTTTAACAAGCCTCCTTCTATGACACAGACGTTTGCATTCCGCTGAACTGGAGGCAGAAGCCCAAATAGTTGCAATGAATCAATAGAAGAGCCTTCAGTCTCCATGTGGTGTCCTAACAGCATCCTGTTACAATATCTTTTTTCATCAGACAAATAAGAATGATAATATGCTGGTTCCCATAGGCCAGATCATCTGCACATGTGTCACAGCTTACAGAAGCTTGTGCAGCAGGCATAGCAGGCTAGTTGCCCAGAAGGAATTGCTAGTTGTCCCAAGTAAATAATTAACTGCAAGGCTAGCACTGCAATTCTGTTAAGTACATACTTGAGAGTAAGCTTTCCTGAACAAAGTGGGGCTTACTTCTATATAAACAAACACAGAACTGGGCTGCACAGCTGCAGTTCTGTGCATGTTTGCTTAAGAGTATGTTCCTCTGAGTTCAGTGGGTCAGTCGTACCTCCAGGTAAAACATGAACTTTGGGCTGCATTTTCATAAAATATATAACTCAGCCTTGCTCAACACAAATATATAACTCAACACGTGCAAATGGCAGCCATAAACTAGGAAGTGGGAACCTCCAGACCATGGGTTGAATAAAACCTGCCAGTGGTCCTAGTTTGGCCCATGAGACAATTTCCCTCACCACATCCATTTGCCCCACAGCTGGCATTATATGACATCATTTGGAGCATAGGGTTTGCATTCAGCACCTTTTGAATTTGGTGCCAAATGCAAGCACTGCCGGGATTGGTTCTACGCAGGAGGTTCTGCATCTTTTTTATTTCTGTGCCAGCTGCAAGCCCATCGAGATCGACTCCACTTAGCAGCTCTTGGGTGGAGCCAATCCCTGCTGAAAGCAAGAGTTACATTTTGCTTTTGGCAGGAATTTGTGGAGTGGAAACTTGAATTCAAGCCATGACTGCAAAAGAGGAAAGGAACAATTGCGAGAACGCTCTTAGAGTGTGCTCCCAATTCTTCCTTTGAATGGTATTGAATTGATATTGAATTGATATCATAGGAGCCATCCATCTGTCCAAAGTGATCTGTGGAGGGTGGGACAGTTCTGTCACCACTAGATTTGCCTAGTGAGGGTGGGCATACCTGTCAATGCTGAGAATTGTGCTACTGACAGTGGCTGATGTCTATCACAAGCTTAGATACTGTGTTATGTGAAGATGGGGAGAAATTCAATGGGGAGAAATTCAATGCAGTCCACATTTATAGGTAACTCTGTCAAATTCACACCTTCCAAAACACTATGAAAATCAAAGCAGTCATCCTCTAAAACTTGACTTAATCTGAATTTTGCAATGCAGTTTTCAAACCAGTATTTACAAAATGCATGTACAGTGGTACCTTGGGTTACATACGCTTCAGGTTACAGACTCCGCTAACCCAGAAATAGTACCTCAGGTTAAGAACTTTGCTTCAGGATGAGAACAGAAATTGTGCTCCGGCGGCGCAGCGGCAGCGGGAGGCCCCATTAGCTAAAGTGGTGCTTCAGGTTAAGAACAGTTTCAGGTTAAGAACGGACCTCTGGAACGAATTAAGTACTTAAACCGAGGTACCACTGTATTAGCAGAAAGCATGCATAAACATATCACTCAAGAGAGCATACAAAAATGCTTGTAGTCTCAGGAAAATTGCTAGCAAAAATATGCATATTGGTCAAAACTGCATACAAAACTGGGTTTATTAGGAGAAAGTCAAACTAAAGTGCTGATGAATGTTCATTACTTTTTTAAAATGGCAAGTTGCTATAGAAATGTGAAGAACTAAATTTAAGATTGGGAAAAATTAGAAACTGGAGAATGGAAATTGGCAGATCCTTCCATCCCTAGTTGTGAGCCTCCCTAGCTCCTGGATTCCTGCCTGTCATTTTCAAAGGCATTACATTAGTTTTCAATATCATACATTTTCTGATTGCATCCAATTCAAATATCTTAAGAACAGGGGTACATTATTCAAAACCTATCTGCTTATTGACCTACACCAACCATATTGCTACTCTCCAGAGTTAGTAAAAGTTACATTTGCTTTCTTACTGAAAATGAGAGGGAAATGTCATCTCAGTTTCTTAATAAATATGTATATGAGGGAATCACTGAATTATCCTTTTCTGACTGTGTGCCTAGTTGAACAGCGAAGCATCAAGGCCAATGGACCTGTCTTGACATTTGAACTCATTGTCAAACAGGCTGTTATTTGTTTGGAAATCAATGAGGTTCACATGATTGTACAACGTGGGGACCATGGTGAAGTTTCTTTTCATATATATATAAGGAAGAAGGATGGGGAGCGGACTATATGGTGTTTCTATTTGTGACTCTGCATTGTTTGACTTCTGTGATTCATGAGTTATGTCAAGTTTACCATCCAATTTATCACATAAACACAACCACTAGACTCTGGACCTTGTTCAAACATACGCACGAGATTAATGAGTCAGAGTTTCTTTTGCAGATGGCAATTGTGCTAGTCCAGAGTTTACATATGATTTCAATTAATCATGTTTTATTTTCTAATTTAGTGTTCATTTTGCTTTTAAACCGCCTTAACGTTGACAAAAATGAAGATAAATTTTATAACATTTCTTGTGAC